ATAGGAATGTAAAATGTTTAGTGAACAAAGTTGACCTTGACTAAAACTACATTTTGAACAGTTTTAGACAAACTGAAAAGTATTATAATACATTGTCCATTGTACAATGTTATACATCGTCTTTGGAGATTGTTGTAACACTAATTTTGGCAAGTGATTTTGCCGAATAGCTGCAACTCCAAATGATGTACATGAAGTGGAAGTTTATACATTTTTCTTTATCCCCCATTCCATTTCAACTAAGTAACAAGACAAAATGATAAATATAAGTATAAAAAGTATTCACAGATATTGTGTAAATGTATTTATGTACAATCATTTAGTAAAAACTAGACAGGAGAAATGTGGTAAACTACATATGAAAGCAAGCATGTAATAAAATAAATCATTTTGTTTATCCCCGGTGAACATTCTCTGAAGTAAACTGAGCTGTTAAAGGTCACACAACACTGTCTCTTATATAATTTAACATTATAACTTCACAAACCGCATATGATAAATGTTCATGTCACTATAACCATTTAAGAACCAGGTTAATCTCTCATTTTAGCATCTCATCTGGCCAAACATTGGCTCTTGATCATTGAGAGTCAGGCCTTCCTTAGAAAGTCATGCGAGCTCAGTGAGAAACTGGGCACACGTCTTAATTGCTTCTTTGTTGTCTCCACATTCGGTTAATAATGAAATCTGCTGCCAATAAATCTCACAAACAGCGTGCTGAGGATGGCAGTAGTCATTACAGCTCGTGGAGATTTTAATCATGCGCTACACCATTTCTGACTGATGTGTGTGCACAAGTGGAAGCACACATACACTGGTTTGTAATACATCTTCATAATTAGTCTCACAATTATAAGCCAATAAACTGAGGCACACATGGGAGACTGATCCATCTCTGGGATACCGCAATTACCCAGCCCAGACGCGCTCGTGTGACAAATATGTGCATTGCGGCTCTACCTAAATCCACAGAACATATTTAGGAAGTCTACCTGGAGATCGTTGTAACAAAATACAATTACTTTCATTTTTGGAGGCTGGTCATTTGTTGTAGACACTGCTCTTCCCACTATCACTACATTTCCCACCGTATTTTGGTTTTTATGTGTAGTGTAAAATGCTGAGTTTGAATCATGATTTAAATCCTTTTGAGAAGATTTAACTAAAATATCTAAACTCATATTCTGTCGGATTGTTCTGGCCTGAGCCGTCCCATTTTATTTCTGTGTCTTCACTCAGACAACACAATAGAGTCTGAGAGAGTCTGAATCCTTACTTTAGTTTATGTAAAGTAAGCATTTGTTTTGCTGTTTTTGATTAGTATTTATGAAGAAAAAATAAATGGACTTACTTAAAAACCTAGCATCTCAAATACTAGAACATGCCACTCATAAAAGAAAGAGAAAACTAAGATTAGGTGAATTATATAATTCGTCTTGTAAGCATAAGAAAACAAAATATAACCTCCTAGTTTTTTATATTCTTTCCAACAAGACAGGAGCATGGATGAAATCAAAATTAAAAGTCAGCCTGCATATTGATAAGGTTCAATTGGATTCAGTGTGACTTGAAGGTTTGAAAGAAAGCGCTGGAAGACACTGCCTCCACTAATTGCACAAAAAGACACTCTCTGGGGAGTGGACTGGAGCTCCAGGTGCAGCAGCTCCATACCAAATCACTGACACCTCCTCTTTGGCCCTTACTTCATGTAGCCATTAGCGTTATTGAGTAGTGGCCAATTAAACACTATCTCTATCTCTGTATCTGTTTTGTGAACAGTGCTACATTGGGTTCAATCTCGATTATTGACATGTGCATAAGTCAGTCATGTAGTTCTGGTATCGCAGAAAGACCTGAGTTGGGGACAGAAGCATGTGTGTTCTTTACCTCTCTTCTTTTGCCTGTTTGTCTTAAATATGCACAATTTGATGTTTGAAGTTTATGGGGGGGATTCTTACCTCTGCCTCTGCCTCTGTGTGGCACCATCAGGTCTCCCCTCCCCAGGTGAAAATTCAAATTTCAAGAACATAAAAGTTGTGATACATTTTTTCCCCCATATCAGCCTGCCTTACATATGTTCATAGTCAACGCACTTCTTCACTGAACACTTACAAATATCAGCTCATGATTGATAATTGTTGTCCACTGACTCTCAACTGCTCCTTACTGTACGTACATGATGCTCCCTTGCATTTCATACATCCGTCAAAATAGGAACACACTATTTTCAAATAATATCCAGCTCAATTTGCGATTTAAGCTTAGATAGTTCTTCCTTAAAGCGCACATTTAACCAGTTAAACCGTAAAAGACACCTGTAAAAAATAAAATGTGGGGAGGGGGGGAAACATTTCAAAATAAGGGTGAATTAGACTGTACTTTTTCCTAACACTTTTTGCTTTGAGTAAAACCTGCTCAACATATTCAAGTCTAACATACATTTCATAACAGTAAACCGTGAGCTACTTTTAGGCTGATTTTGATATTTCCAAACTGTCAAAAGTAATTGCAGCATTTGAGAAGTGCGGCCACCAAAATGCGGATTTAAAATCGAATACATTTTTGTTTGTATCGCCCAAAATCTCAACAGCAGTGAAAAATTGATCCTTTGTCATTTTCACTACTCTATTGAAACTCGATGTGACCATGCACTGCCGCGTCTTGTCAGTGTGATTGCAGATGCAGAAGAGGAAATCCTGGGTTGACTCAGACAGAGATAAAGAATGATCGCTTTTGAATCAGTACGCCGTAAATAATTGAAACGACAAACGGGTCAGGGCGCTCGAGGGCAGCGAATCCTCCCGACCACTGGTGCCTGAGATCTGAGCTACTTTGGCTTCTATGTCACAACTCATTCTTTTATTATTATTTTATTGGTGAGCTTACCAGTGCAATTGTGAAGCTGACTCACAATTGTCTGGCCTTTTCAAAAGTCACAGTCTCCAGTCCAATGAATACTTCACAACAAGAAGAGAAGGCCTTTTCTTCCACCTCTCTACACCAGGATGATAAGTCCCACTCTACGAAGTCAAGACAGAACACTTTCTACAACGACTTCAAACTTCACCTAAACTGACCCATGCCATTGTCCTCAGAGCTTTCCAAAAGATATTGTGACACAAACTTTGTCTCTGTGATCATGAGAATACGTTAACTACTTTTGCTTCTCCAAACAAATACTAATGAAATAATATATGTAAATAATGGATAAATAGACTATTGTGTAAATCTGGATTTGTGTGTCTGCTTATAGTTTCTTGTCAAAGCTGCAACTAATCAGGGGCAGGGCCTGCTCAGCACTTGGATGGGAGGGGGCTGTGGTTAGACAAGACACTTGACTTGCATTGCATAGTATGAAGGACTATGTAAAGGATCGGTGGTGATCAGTCTTCCTCTGGGCAGCTGTGGCTACACTAGTGGCTTGCTATCGCCATGTGTGGAGTAAATAATGAAATGTAGAGGCGCATTACATCAAACAATGCAGTGACAAACCAAAAATCCTTGTTTTTTGTGACGATGATAATGAATATTAAATCTTGAATTGTATAGTATCTTTAAAATACACACACCGCTCCAGGATACGAAGAACAATGAGAACAATGTATATACACAAAACAAGGAAACTAAAAGGTTCCTTTTTTAGATGATATCTTCAAGTGTAAACTTCCAGGGAATTCCTACACTATATGAAAATGTGTGCCCACTGTAAAAGGCC